ATTTCTTTGATTATATATTCGATATATTCTTTAGTTCGATATTCGATAGTATTTTGGTCAGTAAGGTTTTCTAATTGGGCAATTATTGTTGTTAATTAAGATTGTTGGTTTCTATATATCTTTCTAGTTAATTATACTAGTTGGTTTCTTTTTTCGTTTGGTATTTCTAATATTTGGTTTCGTTTTAGTGGGATTTCTTGTAATACTTCTTTTACTTTCTCTAGATATTCAAATACTTGATATTCTTTTTCTAGTTGATCGTTAGTTGTTTGTATAGTTTTTAGTTGAGTTAGATATATATTATCAAATTCTTTGTCTATAAAATAATTGAATAGTGTGTTTTCTAAATATATACAGATATATTCTTTTGCATTGAGTTTCTAGTAAATATACTGTAATTCTTGGTGATATAGTTTAATAGTATTTTCTTCAAATTTGATTCTTTCTTTTTTGGTTTGAATAAGAATAGTTGTAGTCCAGTTACTATGTTCTTATATTGTAGCAATATGTGTATTGATCATCTTCGTATACTGAATGTATTTCTCTGTTATCAGTTATAAATAATTCTTTTGAGGTTATTTGTTTATATACTCTGAATAATGAGTTTCGTATTGTCTGATTGTGTCTTTTAATATTGTAGAGTCTTGAGCTTGGTAATATCTACTTTGTACGTAGTTTGCTGTATTATTCCAATAGTTTACTGATTCATATTGATATAATTTATAAATTGTTGCTTCTTTCTTGTATTCTACTTCTAGTTGGTTGATAGTTTTTTAATATTTTCTTCGCAAATAGTATAGAGTAAGTAGTCTAGTTTCTTTACTATTTCTTCTTGAGTTACTTGTATTAGTTGATTTTCTTTAGTTAATTTTGCTAAATTATTTCGATTATATAATTTATAGTCTTGTTTAATTATTGATTTATATTCTTCGTTTAATTCGTTTAATTCTCGTTAAATTCTTAAAGACTTTGTTTTTTGGTTTGCATTTATGTATTTATGAATTCACTTGTTCTTTTAATTGAGTCTCGTAAGAATCTTCGTTTTTCTTCAGCAATTTCGTAATCTTTATATCGTTGTTCTCTTAATTCTTCTAGAATTTTAAGTTGTTTTTCTACTGGTATAATATCCTTTTTTTCAAGTTGTTTATATTCGTTTGTAATATCAATTGTTAATTGTTTTAAGTCTTGGTAGATTATACACTATCCTACTTGATACAGTATTTCTTTGACTTGTGGGTAATATTCTATTTTGTAAAAACAATAAAGTAAAATGGTTTCTCATCTGAAGTTGAATATTTTTCTAATATCTTTTTCTTCAATTATTTAGTTAAGTTGTTTTGGTTCAATTATAGTTTTGATTATTGATTTGATTGCTATTTTAAATAAATATAATTGTTGGGGTATTCTATCGTATTCGTATATTATTCTTTTTCTTGGTTTTAGTTGTTGCATTTACAGTATAGCTTTTTCTTGTTTTAATGGGTCAAGGTATTCTTTGAATAAATCTTTCTTTATAGGGTCAGTTGTTGTTTCAATTAGAAAACCTTACTGACCAAAATACTATCGAATATCGAACTAAAGAATATATCGAATATATAATCAAAGAAAT